GGAGTGGCGGTAAACGCGGGCATCCGTCATCTGGCTTCCAGGCCAAATTCCAGTCATCTTTTTTGTTCTGTTATGCAACTTTCTCAGATTACTGCAAGCCTCATTCTGGTTTTTGAGTTCTTCAAACTTGATGATTTGGGGTATAAAGCTTTATACTGGGAAGAAAAGTTGCCTCACGCCTTAGCACAGGCATTTACCGTATGGGAAAAGCTCATTTGTTGCAGGTGTGAAGTCGTCACGTTTAACAATCCGAGTCTAGACACGAAGAATTGCTGCTGGTGATTCTTCATTCTGGACTCTCACAATTAATGAGATGATCGTTGCTACAGTTTGGGTTTCTGCTGCCTTCAAGGAAGTATGGATGCATGTAACTTTTAAAGAAGCTGAGAGATGAGTTGAATTTTGCTGATTTAGCTGTTACCAGCTATTTTAAGACCACAGAATAAAGGCCTGCAAGCAACTTGTGCAGGATGGCATGAAATACTGAGAGTCCTGGAAAACTTGCTTGTGAAAGAGGCCTTACATGATGGCAGTTACAAAAAGCTATGTTCAGTCGGTTGTTTAGACAAGCAGAAGGGTAACCAGTGCTTCAGGAAATGCATTGTTGCAGAGAGGCTGAAATAAACAGTTTAAATATGTGTGGTTGGAAGTAATGGAAAAGTAGGAACAGAAGTTACAGAAGCTTATGAAGTTTTGTTATTGCTAAGCGATGCTTGCAGCTTATGTGGATGCCATCTGATGATGAATGAGCAAGCTGAATTTTGCACTTAGGTGGGTAACTTAATCTTGAATGTTTTGGTGTTTACTGGAGCACTCCAGGAGCAGTGGTACTTTACCACATGGCGTTTTACTTCTGTATTTATTGAGGAGCCAGGGAAAGTACAAACTACACACATAGTGAATGTTTGAAATATATGAATAGCCTAGGAAGCTGAGGGATCTATTTGTTGCTGTGAAGGATGACTGTTGTTTTGTATCATCCTATCCTGAGGTAGTTTCATCAAGCATGGGAGGAGATGCTGATATAATAAAATGGCTTTTTCTTATTAAGGGGCAGATGAGACATTTGCTCTCAATAGAGACAAAGCAGCTTGATATCTAAACGAGGCAATGCTGTTCTAATGAATGTTTTATTATTTGATGAGAGTGAAAGTGTGGAGTTTGAGTTGTGCTGTTGGAGAAAGGGTAGTATTCCTGACTATTGTTGCTTTTGCTCTGTAGCAAGTATTTACCCTGTTCCTTAGGTTGTCCATGTTTTAAAATACATATAATTACTTCACTGAAGTGGTGCTGAAGCCTAATTATGTGTTTCATAAAGCAGTCTGTGATCCTCTGCTGAATGGGTGGGTGACTTTTTCCCTTCCTGTAGTGTGAGGATATCATGTACTGTGTAATTATTTTGTCTGATTTCTGGTGGTGCAAGCAATTGCTGTGCCACTGCTCTCAGGTATTCTCGATACATTTATTCATTCTTAGATTGACTAGCTTATAAAATATATCAACATATCTATTTTAAACTTGTAAGCACCATCCTCAGTATTTGCTAGAAACGTCACTCTATAATCAGTAACTTTGCTTAAAACTTTTACTTTTTCTATAAAGTTGTTTTGTTTCTTTAACTGAATGTAAAAATTTTTTAAAAATCTCAAATCTGCCTTTAGTCTTTAGTTAAAAATAGTGTGTATAAAATTGCATAAATTATGTAACTTAATTTTCAACATCAGAAACTACCTCATTTGATCTGTATGAAAGAATGCATTTTCTAAAAACATGTACAACTGGTATATTTCTGAGTCTCTAATAACACAGCTCCTGACTGGGTCCTCGTGGGAGGGAGCTACTGATAGGTGTCCGTTCATTAGGTTTCTCATGCAAGAATGCTTTTGATGTCTTCCCTTGAAGCAATGGTTTTGTAAGTGAATGAGATGACATACGCTATATTTATGATGAAATATTTGACTCTTCAGAACAAACTTGATTCCTTGCAAAGAAGTTTGACACGTTTTCTGTTCGGAAGCATCCTGATTAAATTTCAGCTATGACTGATTTTCTTGTTCTCTACAAAGTTCATGTTAAGTTGCCTGCCTTAATATCTGACTCTGGTTTGTTGTTTTGTTTTTTTTTTTTGTCTGTTTAATAGCAAATTTCTTATTTATGCATGCCTGCTGCTTTTTTCCGTGTTGCTCTCTCTACGTCTGGATGACAAAATTCAATGGAGTTACTGGGCTGTATTTGCTCCAATATGGCTCTGGAAGTTGATGGTGATTGTTGGTGCCTCAGTGGGAACAGGAGTATGGGCTCGAAACCCACAGTATCGGTAAGTTGAGGATATTTATTTTGCAAAAAGGAGGGAGCGTAATGTGTTTTTCGTACTGATCACAAGCTTAAACAATATTTTCTTGGGGAAGGTAAAACTTCTCAGGGAGTGACTTTTTGTGCTTTTCTGTTACAACATTGGGAAGTCTTTGCTTTAGTGTAAGTGATAAAGAACTATCTTCATAGGCACTAGGAATGTACTACTATATTTAATTGGATTATTTTCTAACTCTGTTTCCTGGAACATACAGATCAGTGTGAAGAACGTCGATTACTTTTTTTCTCCTTGGTGTGCATGTAACCTCAGTGAAGATCTGGATGAATATTCAGTGATTCTTGAATATGCTGTGAACATAGTGATTTTTTTTTTTTCAGACTTTGGTTGCAGTTGTCTAAGAAATATTCAAGTAGTTTAATACACTGATATAGGCAAATTTAACACATTTGTAAAGTCACGTATTTGTGGGAACAGGTTCTCTAAGTTCCTTTTCATTTTTGTCCAGGTTGTTTAACACTGATATTTTAATAGGCAGTCTAGGGTAAAATAACTTTCAGACCTTTAAATACATCAGTGTTTCCTTTTTTGGTAATCTGAGTAGGATGTGAATTGGAATGCGCTAGGGGAAAAGAAAAACTACCTTAAATGAAGAGCAATAAATTCAATCTTCTTTTCTCTCTATGCTGTGTATAAAATGAAGAGTTTTGTGCACAGGTCTCATTCAGATACTCTATATCGTGTGGTTCAGGTCTTATTTGCCCCTTCTAGTAATGGTTCTATTTGTGTAGGAAAAAGCTTGGTTTTCCTGTGTGTGTGCTGTTGTTTTACAGGCATTGTACTTTTCAGAAATAGATACTATTCTGTTGCAATATGCTGATTTTGGTGCATAAAGAAATTCCGGGGACAGATGTTGATTCAATGAAAGCTGATGTAGGAACCAAACAGATAATTTTAGACTTAGCTTATTTCCTAACAGTCAGCTTGATATCTGAGTGTTTCCATAGTAGCAAAGAAATCCTGTTTTATCTGCACAGCTATCCTGAGAAAAGGAATTCCTTAGAAAATTTTCAAGTTGTTAAAAAAAAAAAAAAAAAATCCCACTGCCCCCTTTGAGTGAGATACTTTAAATGTGCAGCTTTATGGGCAAGAAATCCTGTTACATCATCAGGAGTGTAGTTTAATAGCGGCTATATGGGCATCATATGTATGTTTATTAAAAACAAGCGTTAATATCTGAAACTTAACAACTGTAAGCAAAGTGTCTTGGGCTGTTTGCAGGATAGTGTGCTTTCCTATTGACCAGTAAACTGAATGCTTCCTTATTGTTTCTTTAGAGCAGAAGGAGAAACCTGTGTGGAGTTCAAAGCGATGTTAATTGCAGTAGGCATCCACCTGCTGCTGCTGATGTTTGAAGTGCTGGTGTGTGACAGGATTGAGAGAGGAACCCATTTCTGGCTTCTGGTCTTCATGCCGTTGTTCTTTGTATCTCCAGTGTCAGTTGCAGCTTGTGTGTGGGGATTCCGACATGACAGGTCTCTGGAGGTAATGCTTTATCTATCCTGGCTGAAATGGGTGGCAATGCAAGACTTTGTATCAAGTTGGTTATAGCTCCTCTCGCAGTAAAGCATGATGTGGATGACTGCATCTGTTGAACTAGTTGTTTGCACTGACCTGCTAGAGTGAAAAATCAGGATTTGGAATAATATATATATATTTTTCTAATATTTTCTAGTTTTATAATTATTAAATTATGGTGTGTTAAAAGAACTCACCACAAACTCTGCAATGTGGACTAATACTAGACACTTACATGGAAATTACTGAAGAAAATTCCCCTGATAGTAAGCACAGTCCCTAGGCAGAATTGAACTTCCAGAGCCCTAGATAATCAGGGTTCCCAATCTGTGTGCTTAATCTTTAATTGGGGAATGTGGATGGTAGGCATAAACCAGGAAGTTTTTATTTTCTGCCTCAGTCTTCTTTCTTTTCTAACTCACTCCTTTTGGTTTTGGAAGAACTTTGCAAGGATTCTCATGAATCCTTGGCATTTTGTAGTAAATTTAGAATTCTTATTGGGGTTTTCTAAAGGACTTTTATTTTTGGCTATATTGTGAAATACTCCATGACAATTAAAAAACTGATTTTTAGATGAGGCTCAGCTTTTCCAGTTTTTTTTAATTTCAAGGGAATATTCTCTAACATTAGCATAAAATGAGTTTATCTCTAGAGGGAGGGAAACATTTTTGATAAGTGATCATTAGCATGGCTGGTAAACTGCTACCTTCAATTGATTTAAAAATATCGCAATAGAAATTCATTTTGCAGAGTTCTAGTCACAGTAAACCATTCCTAAAAGTAAAGTTTGTGTAGAAGTACTTGCCTTCTGGATGATGCTTGATTACCCATTGATGTACAGATGACTGGCATATTTCCTGGCAGAAAAAAAAATGGAAACCACTTACCCCTAAAAGGCAACAGCTGTCTGAAAGAAAAGAAGTTATGCAGTTAACTGTCAACTCTTTTTTTAAATTTTTTTTTTACTATTTTAATCTGCATTTAGTGCTGTTCTGCTTTCTTTTCTTTTTACTCTGTGAAGATTTCATTATTTCCTTGTCATTTGCTAGAAACATAAGAGGAGCCTGGTTTTAATCAAGGATATTAATTTTTGGCATGAGTAATCAAAGTAGTTGTTAATGTATTATTTTCATAATTTTTTTAATCTGAAAATATATTGTCTGCCTGTTTCTATTCTGAATCTGATTAGGTGTTCAGTAAGCACATAGAGGGATTTTGTCTATATTTCATGGTGGGCTCAGAAAAAGCTTTATTTTATGTGTTACACTATTTTTACAATTGATAAAGCACCATTTATTTAAGGCATATTGAATTAATTAAATTGTGAGCCCAGCCACTGCAAATGTACATCCACTTGCCATATATAGCTCAAACGTTAACGAGATTCTATTCATAGCAATTGATACTTTGATTTTTTTTAAAAACTTTTTATTTGCTCTTGCAGTTTTCAGGTTGCTTGATCTTATGCTTGACTGTGGGGGTTTTTGTTTATTCTCTTGAGAAAGCCAGTGGTACAAAGCTATTTTAAATCTAGTTTTCCAGTCATTTTAAAGTAACCTGTACTTCAGCAGTGAAGACGTCAGTGCGGTCTCTGAAGTAGGCAAGTGCCTGCTGCCTGTTGGATTTGTGACTTCCTGACTGGGGATTTCAAAGGCATTTATCCAGCCGATCATGGTACACAGTCATATATGTTAGTGAAAAGTAGCACGTAGTGCCTGCCTTTTGAGAAATACTACATTTCAAAGATGCCTTACATCCCTACATGTTTTTTTTTAAAATGGAAAATATTTCTGACTTACACTCAAGAGCTTCAGTTAGTCTTTTCAGATAATAATTGTCTGATCTTTGAAATCCCTGCCCATGTAGGGTTGCCCATAAACTTTAGAAACAGAATCTTCCAAAGTCTAATGGTGTTTCATTGTTTCACATTGTTCAAGCTAGACACAAACTTGATTTTTTTAATGTGTAATTTAGGGTTAGTTCTCATAGTGGCAAGTGGGACCCGTGAAAAATTTCATTAACATTTTTAATGAGGAGTATTGCTTTTCTGTATTGCCTCAAACCCCAAGTGTCTTCAGTGTAATTTAAAATATCCCTCCATTATACAGTAAATAATTGAATTTGGATTCCACTATTCTCTGTATTTCTTTTTGCCCCCAGATATGGCTGGGACTTTTAAATTGGACTGTTGGTAGTTAAACCAATGTAACTTTCACCTTTATGCTACTGCAACCACTAAACAATATCTGTAAAGATAAATTTTGCTAATTTTAAATTGAAGGACTTTTTTTACTACTTGTTAATTTAATTCTAGCAATATTTCTTACCTGAAAAAAATAGTTGTTTTCTGATGCTTTGCTTTTTTCAGTCTGAGTAGCTGGGCTTTTCTTATTTTTCTAATCCCTCTAATAAGCATTGCAAGTAGTGCTTTTATTTTATTTGTTTTAAATACCAGGAAGGTCTTGTCTCAGGAGACAGCTGCCTCTACAGTTACTCTATTGGGATCACAGCCTTCCAAATTTAGGGATATCATTAGTACTATCTAATGTGAATGCAAATGATGTTCCATATTGCAGTGATAAGCATGGAGTCAGAAAAGTCCTTTGACAGATTCTTTGGTTATCTTGGAAATAGCTTTATCATGCTAAGAGTTAACTAATGTATTTTCTTTTTCTAGCTGGAAATCTTGTGTTCAGTCAATATTCTACAGTTCATATTTATTGCACTCAGACTAGATGAGATCATCAGATGGCCGTGGCTTGTATGTAACAAGTGTTTTATTCTTATTCTTGTTTAAAAGCTGGATTTCATAAAGATATTTACTGTTGTGAACAGTTATGGTATGATGAGAGTCCATGATCACATTTTGGCTTGTTTAACAATCCTTCGCTGACGGTCTGGCATGTCATTCAGTGGTCACGGGAAACAGAGGCTGTTCTTTGGGCATTTCATCCTCTGGGGGAGAGCGACATGTCATCAACTGCAATTAATCTCAGATCAGTTGTTGAAAGATCTGAAATTTTTAGAAAGTTTCCAATGGGAACACTAAACTAGCCATGAAAATGATTGGTGAGTTAGCAAATGTGTTGGTAAATACAGTGTGGTAAATAACTAGTTTTATTTGCGGTGTTACCGTGCGTGTAAATCCACTTACTGTGCAAGTGGTCACTGCCAAAACTGCTGACAGCTCCTGTTGCAAGTGCCTTTAGAATATGAAAGCACTGTTTTGGGGCAGGGGGTGGGGTGGAGTGTGTTATAAACTACTTTAAAACTGATAATCTGGCATGATTGTGCCAGGAAAAGCATCTAATTTGAAACCGTTTTGAGTAAGTGTCCAGTGTAGAAAAGCCTTGCTAAAATCAAGTATTGTTTGAGCTTACATAAACTCACAGAAATCTTACTAAAGTTGAATTATGTTGACTTAATTTAAAATTTTCAGCTTGATGGTGTTTACAAAGCTGAGGAACTCCAAAGAGATGATATGGCTTGTAACACCGCACATGATTTATGAAGCTTTTCTGTTAGAGATTATGTTAGAGTATTACACTTAAATTTCTTTTTCTTGTTTAGACTTAATATGTAGACTTTATTTAGAAAAACCTACACCTGAAACAAATCAAACTGGTAAAAATGCATCACTGTTGGGGGTGGGAGGGAAAGCAGTTAATTTCTTTTTCTTTCAGGTTGTTTGTGTTCCACTGTGGATCTTGATGTCCTTTCTGTGTCTAGTAGTGCTCTATTACATTGTATGGTCTGTTCTGTTCTTGCGCTCCATGGATGTGATTGCTGAGCAAAGGAGGACGCACATAACGATGGCTGTCAGCTGGATGACAATTGTAGTTCCACTGCTCACATTTGAGGTGGGAAAAAGCAGAATGAGTTTGACGTACCTTTGTTCTTTTTTCAGCGAGTGATGAACGTTTCTCTGTCTCTTTTTGAACTTCCTAAAATGAGAATACTACCTTTTGTTTTGGAATAAAATATTAAGAGTCAGTATGAAAGAAAACCAAGAATTCTAGGTTTTTTGAGTAAAATATGCATCACATTGGAACTGTAACTACGTGTTTCTGTGGAGACCATTTTTCTTCACAGATGTGTGAAGCTGAAAATCTGAGATCAGCATATGTTTTAAGAACCTTGAAAGTGGGTATTGCAGTTAAACTGACTATTTCTTTTTTTTTTTTGCCATTTAGATCTTATTAGTACACAGACTGGATGGGCATAATTCTTTTTCTTTTATACCCATATTTGTTCCTCTCTGGCTGTCACTGATAACTTTAATGGCAACAACATTTGGACAAAAAGGAGGAAATCACTGTAAGTACTTAAAAGTCATGGAAACAGATTGAAACTAAAGGCTTAAATGTATTTTATTAAGATTTGTATTTTCAAAAAGGGCTTTTTGTGTATATTCTCTCATGAAAGAATGCTATTACTGTTGTTTTCAGGTGATTTTAGCAAGCTTTCAGTGTTTATAGTGCCTCTTGCTTTTTTTTCTTATTCCTATGAGAGCATAACTTCTGCTCGGACTCAACTTGAAATCTCAGTGGGATTTTAATTGTTACTTATCTTTTATCCTTCTCTATTTCCATGAGTTTCATTCTTATGGGACGTGACTAGATCTTTCTACACTGTGTTCTGAAAATGGTGTAGCACCTAGCATTTTTAATTAGCATTTGTCCTATTAGCCTGAGCTAGTATTCTCTTTCCTCTTTGGCCAAATAGTGCTCTGTGCTGCTTCGTTATAACTTCAGTTGCCCAAGTGGCCAGTGTAGATTTATGAGGCTTTTATCCCCACCACGACTAACAGTGTTGAAAGGAGCATTTGCACTTTCAGCCATCGAATGTTACTGAACCAGTGCAGATAAGTAGCTCTTCCCATCCACGTTGCAGTTCATGTTCCTTGTTGACAAGGCAATAAAATTTGTTAGGATTTTTCAGAGTTGAAAGGAACCAGCTGTGATGTTTGTTATATAAACTCACTTCAGTTTTGGTCCAGTTGTGAAGTATATTGAGAATTTTTCTTCGGTCATGACTAAGCTTATCTCCGTATATTTAGTTTACTTTTATATAGTTATTGCGTGGAAAATTGTTAACTGCTGATTTTTTTTTTAAAGGTATGCCCTTGATAATTTATGGCCAAATTAGTCTTTTGGAAAGCCACATGTCCATTTTATCTTCTGTAGGGCTAGTAAATATTTATGTAAATTTTTAAAAAAGACTATTCAGCTGAAGTGAGCCTCAGAAGACTTGCATGAAAATCCACCTTTAAAGTATGAAGCGAAATACACCAGTTGGCCATGAGGTATAATCTCTGCAAAAAGATGGGTTGTATGGGATCTTCCCTGGCAAGTGCTTAATACCTTGCCTTCATTCAGTGTGAAAGGTTTGACTTGGACAGGCTGCTCCTTTTCACACTGACCTTTGGTATTGGTTAATAGAGGAGCACCATCGGGCGAATTACAAGTGCCGCTTACTTAAACACTCTCTTGCCAAGTCTTTGCCTATAGCAAAACACACGGCAAACACAATGTGTACTGTTTTCTGACCTAGCCCAGGTAATACCAAGGGTGAGATACTCCTGGCATCACATCATATCTGGCTACCAACAAAAGTATTTGGGGAATACAGAATACATACTTTTACTACTCTGTGTCTGCCTCTGCCATCGGAACCTCTATGTATCAAACAGAAATTGGCCTGAATGTCTTCCCGTGTGGCACGGATTCCTTTGGAGACGCAAAGTCTTTTGTGTTCTTTCTCTGTGCACCCATGTGACCCGACTCTGCTTAACATGAGAAGTGAAAGGGATCCTTGCTGTGGCAGTATAGCTGTAACTTAGACATAGGGATATACACACACAGACATGCAGAGGCATGCAAATGCATGTATGTAATCTGTATGTGTATCTGTGTATGTGATCTGAACTGTAACGGTACATGATCGGTGTCAGTAACACACTGAGAAACAGCACTAACAAATCTTATATTGTTCGTATGCAAACAATCAAGAGAACTTAAACAAGAATGCATAGTCTGCCTACTTCATTAAATTTTCATTCTGTTCTGCAGTAATGTGAAATGATTTTATTCTTTTTTAGGGTGGTTTGGAATTCGCAAAGACTTTTGCCAGTTCCTGCTTGAAATTTTCCCATTCTTACGGGAATATGGAAATATTTCTTATGATCTTCATCATGAAGATAATGAGGAAACAGAAGAAACACCACTGCCTGAACCACCAAAAATTGCACCAATGTTTCGAAAAAAGACTGGAGTGGTCATTACACAGAGTCCAGGAAAATATGTGATTCCACCTCCCAAGCTAAACATTGATATGCCAGATTAAGATGACAGTAGCATATTAAACTGGAACTGGGAATCAGCAGACAAATTTATTTCATCTCATGCCTTGTCCCAATTACTTTAAAATAGGTATTGCTGAATCAGTGGCTTGGATGACACAAATCAGATCTTGAAGATAATCTGAGAGCTTTTCCAGAGATACGTGGTGGTCTAATTTGAGAACCTTCCTGATGGGTTGGTTGCGTGCTTGCCTGTATAGTATTTATATGAACATTTTAGCAGTGTAATATATTGTTTAAAAGTTTTGTCTTGTACAGTATAAGTATTATCTAAAAGTATTTTTATAAAAACCCTGTATGAAATGCCTATGCTATTCCAGGTGTCTTTTAGGTCCTAAATATACACTTCCATGTCTGTTTTAAATGCTTTGGGGATGCCTTAATAGAGTACCTCTGTTACTACTTTTTCTGTTCAGCCACAATCATTGTCTTAACCACAGAGGCACAGGAGTGTTGCACTTCTCAAGCAAGACTGGAAAGCTTTTTTGGGGGGAAATAGAATGTATAGCAACTTACATGTTTTTGAGTTAGCTCTGTAAATTTTCATTTAGGTATTTCATCTTCTGCACTGGCTTGGGAGTCAGTGTTGCCTTTCCAGTTTCACGTTTTAATTCTTCCTGAGCAGCACGTATGCCATCCTCCCATTAGACTGGCTGTTTAATAAGCTGTTCCCTCGTGCATCATGTGTGCTGCAGTCTTTGCCAGAAACATTAGGTGTAGGTTTTATGGTTGTCAGTTAGCTGGTATAAATATCAAAGCTTGGCCTTCATTACCAACTTGTGTTGGTGTAAATAATTAAACTTCGCAAGACAGGAACTCATTGGTGTTGGTATAGCATTTTCTTGTTTGAAGAAACACCTCCTGTGACAGACTGTCTCAGACTTCCACGTGCTCTAGAGAAATTTAGCCTTTGAAACCTGTACTCTGCTTATAACAACATGTTGGATACTCCCACATCCTTGCAGGTTCTCTTGGTGTTTAGGTGAACTCACAGTTTAGGTAGCTTAAATACCATGGATCATGTTTCCCTAGTGTTAGCATGGCAGTAAGAGCACTGAGCGTATGGACATTTCTGCCTGTGGGAGGTGCGCGCCTGACCACCTGCAGGGATGGGGCGCTTTCATTCCTAACACTGCAGACCTCCCTCTTTTCCTCCCCGAGGATTAGCTACCAGCTGAAACCCAACACAGCGCTGTCCTATCCGACATGTAAAATTTTGTTTACTTTTACTTACTTTTTGGCTTGAGTCAAAAAAAAAAAAAAATCCGTAAATGAACAGCAACAAGTGCTATTTAGCAGCAGCATGGGTGTCCCAGTGATGTTTGAGAATTTTCCCTTGGGCTTCTCAGTCAGCTGGTGACTTTTGTTCGGCTGGCTGGCAGGACAGTCTAGCTGCTAGGGTTCGGCTGAAAAATTTACTTGGCCTGAGAAAAAAGAATTTAAAAATTGAGCTTTCCCCATCTCAGGAGAGCAAATGTTGTGTGATTCATGAAGAATTGTTCGAAGAGGAAGTACTAGCATTGAGAGGACATAGAAGAATTTTTAAAAGTGAGACCATGAAAAGCTTCAGTCGTCACCTCCAGTTGTATGGATTCATCAGAAAGCTGTGGGATTTTCCAAAGCTGAGCACACGTGATGACTTGCTATTACAAGGAACAGCTAGGGAGGTATGTTGGATCCTTTACGTGCAGGCTAACTCAGAATATTCTGGTGGGACAGGTCTCTATTCCAATGAAATACGCCTTTACTACAGAGGAGATGAGGATGGTAGTAAATGTGCTCATTGCCAGTTGTTCTTTGGCTCATGTTCGGGAGTTACTGAAGCAGCATTTCTGAGTATTAGAAATGCTGATCAAATATACGTTGGTTATTTCCAATTACTTTGAACACACAAAATGAAAAGATAGTCATATCAGGATTTTTTTTTGTTTCCTGTAACTCTTGCTGTACCACATGCGGTCTTCCAGTGGCATTTGCTGAAGGCTAAGAAGGTACGTGTCTGCATCAGGTAGTTACCAGCATGTTCATTCCATGTTAAAGTTGCTGAAACGGAATGGTATTTGGGTTTCTAAATCAGTTTGTATGCTTTTAAGAAGCCTACCCTTTGCTGCTGCCAAGCAGCAAAACCACAAGGCTGGTTACTGCCCAACAGGACTGGATCACACAGTTTGATTTAGCCTAAACTTCAGGTTTAGAATGTCCCTGATAGTCCTTGTTAACATCCACATTTCTCTTTGACAACTAGAATTCTTAGTCCTCGTATCTTTGTGGTTTCCAGTCTCAAGGTAGTGAAAACTAACTCTTTTCCTTTGCATTTTTTAGTTTCACTTTACTACAACCCCTATTTTAGAAGACATTTTCCACATCAGCTGAAGAAGTATAAGCGATGCTTTGGTCTGAGGAATCAGCCACCAGCAGGATTTTCACCGGACATGTGTTTCCAGCATGCATGCTGCTGGGAAATAAAACCAGATGCTGAGCTCTTCTGAAGAAACCACTTCCAAAGAGGAGAGGGGTCCATTCCCAGCAGGTCCAAGGGAGAACACGTGCACCTCAGCACCTAGGAAGACTGCACCTGCCAAGCGATGTGTCAAGGCAGTGACCTCAATCCAATGTGCCTCGACACCCGCACGCACCACTGCTCTGACAAAGGCGGGCCCTGCGGCAGCAGGACCCAGGGAGGAGCTCAGTCCTCTGCCCCCTCCCTTTTGACCCAGCACAGCAGCCCCAGCCTGGCTGGCATCGCCGCTTCACCGGGTCGTGCCATGCCGACCATGCCCAACAATCACGTCCCACCAGGGCTGGCACCTCCTGCCTCTCCCCCAGCCACTGCTCTGCCTATGCCAAGGCCACCTCAGGCCCAAACTCCACCGCAGTGCCATGGCCCGGCAGGCACTTGCGCTCCAAACAGCGGAGCTGCAGGCAGTGGCCTCAGACCCCAACCCGGGGCATGCTCGGTACCCGCACAGCGCTCTTGGGAGTTGTGTTCTCTGAGGGAACAGGGTCTCCTACATGTTCCAATAAACTTTCTTTTAAAGCCCCTGCCAGTTGTCCTGTCCTCGTTTTACAGCCGTGCCTACCCCTGGACTTGGGCCTTGCTCGAGAACATCAAAAGTATTTTCACTGTAATGTGCGGTATGAATTTGGAAAAAGGCTGTAAGTGCCAAAAGCAGTAACTTCTATTTGCTACTCTGCATGCACACTTGTCTTTAATTCAATGCTAGATTTTTCAAAGCTTACTCCTAGTTTTCATCTTAAATGAGAGAAAGAAATCTTATAAGACTCGCTTCATTTAAATTTGTACAAGCATCTTTTGGTGCCTAATAAAGGCCTTTCTATAAAGGCTGTCACGTCACAGAGCTGTATACTGCAGACTGCTTCCCCCCATCATATGCACATCTAATCTACCCCAATGGTGAATGAAAAAAACCTGGTCCTTTCTGGAAGTTTTACATTTACAGCACATAACACACACTACACACAGAAGCCTCACCCAGCAAACCTCTGTTTGAGAAGCCCAGAGGGACTGGCCTTCTCTCACAATTGCCTTCTCAATGTTCCCACACCTGTAAAATTAGGAATGGGCTGGAGACAGTTGTCCTGTTAATGATAGCAGCCTGCTTTTGAGCACTGTTTTTCTGAAGGGCCCTACAAACTCCCTCATATAATCAGAGACGCATGCATCACACAATAGTTGTATTTACATTTTAAATTGGCACACAATACATCAACCACATGTTTAAAAAATAGTATTTGCTTAAGAGTTATTGATATAGGAAAAAATGTAGTAAACCATAATTTCCAGTAACAGTCATAAAAATTATATCTTGTTTATTTTGCCTCAAAAGAGCAGTTCTTCAAATGTATTTGCTGTTTCAAACAATTAGTCTTGGAAGGGAATCCTTAACAACTCACTGGTATTCAGGAGACTGCCTTGTGAATTACAAGTGTGCATTCAGGCAGTAATAATAATAAAATACAATAAAGGCAGTAACAGTGAGGGGAAATGCCTACGCTTCTGAAGGGATCAGTTCTTCAGGGATGTCCACCTCCCACACACCTCTTCTGCCTCTGGCAGGAATTGGTTCTAGGAGCCATCTTGGATTTGAAACAACAGTCAAGTATTTCTGTTGTAGGTTGCTGAGGACAGCTTTGTTTTCCAGCTCCAGAACCTTTTCAGAAGGCAAGTTTTCTGGATATAGTGATGTCTCCCCAAGGTCAATTAATCCTGTATTGTAAAATTAAAATATAAAATCAGTTGGCTCTTTGATCTCCTAGAGGAAAGTTTTCCAAAAGTAAACCTCCCAGAGGACATAAAAAACAGCTGATTTGTTACCAGGAGAACACAGTCTGAAGCATGCACACCTCAAACCAGTGTCATTCACTGCAGAAGATGGCCTATGTGACTGAACTCAGGTCACGGAAGAACAGGTGAAGCATGCAGTTACAACATTCACTACTCAGAATTCTCTTAAAAACAAGCCTGCATCTAAGTAGATAGAGCTGCTACCAAAACTCCTGAGCTATATTTGGCCTTGGAACAGCTTCATTAAAAGTAAAACTCTCTCCCTACCAACGGGAAGTGGTGAATGAATCCCTTGTTCTGCTTTGCTTGCATGCACGACTTTTGCTTTACCTATTAAACTGTCCTTATCCCAACCCATGAGTTTTCTCACTTTTACCCTTCCGGTTCTCTTCCTCATCCCAACTGGGTTGAGGTGGGCAGGGGGGTAGTGAACAAGCAGCTGTGTGGGGCTTAGTTCCCGGCTGGGGACAAACCATAACAATTATTGTGAAACAAAATAATATGCAACCCACATTACACTATATTAGCATAAATCAATTTTATTTCTTGTACACACTGTAGAATTGTAGCCTCAAGTTTTTAGTACAGTAAGTGTATTTTAAAAACTGAGGCCTGACTAAACTTATTTAACCTATTATCTTAAGGGCAAAGATACTCTTTTTCATTATGTTGGAAATGTGAAGTAAGTTTTATTTACAAGTTCCCTCACAGACCTCAGCTTACAGCAGTAAGTAATCAAAACAGCCCCCAGTCACAACTCAGGCACCACTCCTTCAAAATACTTGTAAAAGCACTGTTACAATGAGCACAACTGTGTAATGCAGATGTGTATTTGACTGAGCGTTAATGGATTGAAAGCTCGCTTAGAAAATACAATCCAAGGTTGCTTACCTGCAATAACTCCTCTGCCAAATTTTTCCCCTTCATCCAACAAATCTTGCACTTGTTTTGGTGTCATACCAAACCTGTCCAAAAGAATTGCTCTCCATGTTTCATCTTGCCAGTCGTTAACAGCTATATGAACAGCAAGGGTGCAGTTCTTGTAGTTCGCTAGCAAAGGGCGCCAGCGAGTCTCTACCGTTTTGACTTTGTTTAAAACTAATCCTGCATAGGGCTGTCGGAAGGAAAGGCAACCAACTTTCATCGTTCTTCTTGCATCGGAGCTCGTTTATTTCCTATAAACGAACAGACACCCCGAGATCAGCCTTCAGAAAGGAATCTGTGACCACAACAAACCGCTACACCGGCCCGAGCACCTGCCCTGAAGACCGGGACGCTGCGCTAACGCGAGCTGCCTCCCCGGGAGCGACCGTCCGCGCCGCGGGGCCC